TCATCCAACTCTGTAGAATCATATATTTGACAGAGAATAAGGAAAAGCATAATAGGTCCCCTTTCATCATAATCCTAAACCTGATACCACTAGTCTCAGTTTTTGACTTCCATTAATACCTGGAACATTTAAAAATAAAAAAGACAGTGACACACACAAACTCAATATTTAACTATTAGAGCTAAAATATTTAGTCTCAGATATAAAATCAGTTTACACAGGTTGAAATGACAGTGTTGTGTTTTATTTTAGTGGTCAGCATTCAGAGACCTGAAAGTCTTGCAGCCTACTTACTTTATAAAGACTTACTACTTGGACTTGTCTCAAAACAGCTCTGCCAGGAAGCAACATCTTCAAAAATCCTTAAGGCACCCCACTTGGTGAAACACTGAGTAAGGATGCATTGTTGCCCACAGGCATTTCCTCCAAGCTGCAGTTGTGCGCTGCGGCCAGTTGGTGTCCCCATGCCTCCACTGAAAAATGCTCTGGAGGTGCCAGAACCTTAACTCCATGCTGGTGGTAAAACTCTTTCCACCCTCTTTACCCTCTTCCCTGCTTTCTCCACACGCCGCCCCCGTTATTGTAGGCTTTAGCTCCATTGCTCTGCCTTAATTGTTTCCTGAAGTTTACCAGGTTGTTTTTGAAAAGAAAGGAGACATAGTTATCAACGCAGGATAGGCACCTCCACACACACACACACACACACACACACATAAAAAACAGGAGTGACACCGCCCTGCAAAGTGACACGGGTTGACAAATGTTGGGAGGGTAGAAGGAGAGGACGTGGGAGTGAGGGAGTTGGGAGTGGGAGGGAGGTCAGAGTGAGGGGAAATGAGTGTGGAGGAGATCTTTGGCAGAGGGAGGCGAGTCAGGTGTGTCTGTTATTGAAGAAAGAGAGATAGTTAGGTCTCATTGCTTCCTTGGCAGTCCTTCCTCTTGAGATTAGTCTATAAACATTGCGTGTGTGTGTGTGGGCGGCAGCAATGTCTGAATCCGCCGTCTTAACGCTGACCGCTCCTTTTCATCGTCCCCGCGCTGACTCCGCTGTCAGAGTATTTACAGATGCACAACTCGCAATTAAACAACTCCCTCCTCCGTGACCCCGAAAGTAGAATTAAAACAATTAATTACCGTTAACCCATACCGGGGTGTAATTATCAGCCACCTAGCTAATCCATCCACGCACACTTTCTCCCCTCCTCACCTTCCTTTAACGTCAAGCTAAATTTAGACAGCGAGAAAAGGGGGAGATATTGGTGTGAAACTCCCGGGGAGCGGAACGCACAAGGCTGGCTGTCGGTAATTAGGTTGAGCCACTTCTTGCCATTGTTAACATCCTGCTTTAATATGAGAAGGACCCCTCCCTGACCCTCATAGGCGTCTTCATTTCGCCATGATGTCTCTCTTTCCTCTCCGCTTCCTGATGATGGAATTCCACCATTACTTCTTCTGTTTTTATCTTTTCTTTCCCCATCTACGCACTCTTTTTCATTTTCTTTCTCTCAGTCCTCTCCTTGGCCTTTCACACAAACCTAATTTCTCTTTTTTTCTTCAAACTTCACGCTCCCTCCATCCATCCATCCATCCTTCCGCCCCCACTCTCCTTAACTGACTGTGCCGGCTGGTATATTTTTGGCTGTATGGTCTCTAGAAATAGGCTTTTGTGGCTGGCAAGGTCACTGGATTAATTAAGAATGGCGAGAGGGAGTCAGGAGTTCACTTTCTTTCTCTTCCTCAATTCATCCTCCGCTTCCCCTCGCGCTCTGTGTCTTCGCAGAATACGACGGCGGCGCTGGCGGTACAGTGGAGCAAACGTGCAGTATTGTGCATGGCAATCACCACAAGCCATTACATTGTGCACAGGACTGCAGAGAATCAAAATTCAGGTCAAGCCCGTTGAAGAGCGACAGAGAGGAGAAAAAAAAGGGACGTCTGTTTTTTTTTTCATACTTTGCAATGATAATGACATTATCGACATGAATAATGCAATGTCTGCAACGACCCCTTTCTTTTCCTTTTTTATAACCCGGTGATTTTCACGCCGCTACAGAAGTGTAATGCACTGTCCTCCGGTTCACTCCATTGCAAGAACATTACAATCTGACATGTTCTCAGCTTTTTCAAACTACTTTAAGGGCATTTCTCTGTTATCCTCGCCACATCACGGTGTGAGTACTGATTCAGCGGCGGTGCCGGTCTGTCCTTGCTTCTTTAGAAGTGATAATATTGACGTTTGATTTCTTTTTCTTGCTCCGTCTGTCTCTTTTTCATATTGACAATGACCCAGTACTTTAATTGCCATTGTCAAGGGAGGCTGTAAAGAGGGTCACGAAGCCTCCAGTGCAACATCCTCCTTATTTGGATGCCTCCACTAGAGCTGCTGCATGGGGGAATACATGGGGGGTAATGAAACAATGCACACACAGCCCAATCCCACTTTACCCAACAAGCGCTTCCTGTGCTTTACCCAAATCCCCACTACAGTGTGCCTGCTTCTTTTTAAATATTTGAGAAGTTTGTTTTCAGCTTGCAGATTTGTTTTATGATGTCTCCTAACACCCAAATGACTGTGCTCTGTGTGTGCTATTCTGGTGTTTTGGGTTTCTTTAATGCAGTGTGATTAACTTTTGGGCTGTTTGCTGCGCCTACATTTCAAATCACACATATTTAAGTTTATAATTAGAGTTACATGTGTTCATGTCAAAGATCACATTAAGGGGAATGTATTCTGGCTGGCTTAAAGGGACCTATGATGTTTGTTCTTATTTTCTGTCATATATGTATAATGTACAATGTCAGATGTTCATATTAAACTCAGCTTAAGTTTCACATAATAAGGTAAACGTATGTAAAAGTAATCTTTGACTGTTCTGAATTCTCTGTTTCCAAAGTTTTTTCTCCTTTCTCTACAAGATGACGTCAACTTGTGATGCAGGCACTGTACTGCAAAGTATTTACATGCAGCTGACGTCAGGCAAACATGTGTCTTCGTTGCTGATGTTGTTGATTCCTTCCTGATTTTGGATCATTTTGGACATGTACGAATGTGAAATCTGACTTATAGGGTTTTATTGTTGATTTTTTAATGTGGAAAAGTGATGCTGTACTCCATTACGGTCATTTCCCTGCTGGAAGTCCACTGCTACATGTAGCTACATGCTAATGCCAGGGAACCATGTAATCTTGGTTGCCAGTGTACTCTGTTTCCAACAGTTTTTTCTACTTTCGAGACAAGCTGACATCAGCTCATGACAGCTTTATTTATATGTTCATATGCTCCAGGCATGGAACTGTAAGTGTTTACTATACATAGCCTACACTGCTACATGTAGCTACTACATGCTAACATCAGCATCATTTCCCAGCTGGAATTCTTCCAATTGTGAAGATTTTGTTTTAGAAGTTTTTATTGGTGACTTTCTTGGTAGAAAATGGCAAGATAACATGACTTTGTTTCACTGCAAGTACGCCGCTACATGAAGCTACATGCTAACATCAAGGAAACATGTAATCTTGGTTGCCGATATTGTTAATTTCACTACGATTTTGGATCATACTCCTGCTGTTACATGTCCACTTCTGTTAAGAAGCTTGTGTTGGGGATTTTTCACAGTAGAAAGTGCTGCTATGCTCCATTAACAGTCATTTCCTGGCTGCCAGTACACTGTTACATGTAGCTACATACTGTCAGGGACACATATAATCTTGATCACTGACACTAATGTAATTTTTTTCCTGATTTGAGATCATATTCCTGCTGGAACATGCTTGGATGTTAAGATTTTGGTATAGAAGCTTTATTGGTGATTTTTCATGGTAGAAAGTGCCTCTGTGTTCTCATTCCTTGGCTGAAGATAGACTGCTACGTGTAGCTACATGCTAACATCTGGGAAACATGTAATCTTGGTTGCCTATGTTGTTAATTTCTCTCTGATTTTTTGATTATATTTCTTCTGGAACATGTCTGGTTGTGTGTAGAAGCTTTAATTGGTGATATGTCACGGTAAAACGTGGTGCTATACTCCCTTACAGTAATTCCTCGGCTGCAAATAAACTGCTACATGTAGCTATATGCTAATGTTAGGGAAACATGTAATCTTGGTTGCCAGTGTTGTTAATTTCTCCCTGATTTTCGATTATATACCTTCTTGAAACGGAAATAATCTGTACTTACGTTCACTTCTCCCATTGGAATAAATAGACTCAGGGTCGCTATAGTCTCCTAAAGGGGCGGGGCAGTGACAAAACCCATGTGACACAGGAAATGAAGTAGTCCGTCTCGGTTTTTCTCTGGCAATGCAGAGATCCCGAGATATGGAAGGCCTGGAAATGCTGACCAGTCAGAGCAGGCTGGGCTCTTGGGAGGGGGGGGCCTAGATAGACAGGTGCTAAAGCAAAGCGTCTCAGACAGAGGGTGAGCACAGGTGATCCGGCACAGACAGTAGGAAGAATATAAAGTGTTTTTTGAACATCAAAGCACATAAACATGTTCTAGTTGAAACCCAGAATACAAGCATGAACCTGACAATGAGCATAATAGGTCCTCTTTAACGGTATACAGCTCATATGAAAACATATACTGACAGCTTTCTGTTTGTATTCCTGCAGCAGCTTTTTGATTGAGATGCTTTTTGTCCAAGCACTCTGTGCCATTTATCAAAGTTCTCGCTTGAAAGAGAACAGGGAAGCTATTTCTGCAAATAAATTTGACGCTGTATTGATGGGCTACGGCTCCAGTTTGATGAGGATGTCTGTCAGTGGTGTTTCAAATTGAATGCGATCCTTGCCGACGGTAATACAACTCAGAATTACACATCTATTGATGCAAACAATGCGCTTGAAAATGGTAATTGTGGGTCTACAGATGCAGATAATAGGAATAAGCAACAATTCAGTGACATTGTTAGTATGCATGATGCTGCGTGTGTGTCTGATATACCTATTTAGTGTGTGTTTTTACCTCACATCTGTGTGGTTATGTGTCTCTCTGTGTTTAGGAGATGTACTCCAAAGGTATGATCCTGGCCAGTGCGATCAGACAGGTGCGAGGACTGGGTGACAACAAGTTTGAGGTGGTCACTTCCCTACGAACCTTTGTGTTCCGGGCTGAAAGAGAAGGTACAACAAGTGCATCCTTGACTCTTTTTTTTTCCTCCTGCATTTCCTAATCATCTATCAGCCCCTCATTGTGTATCTCTGGTCAGTCTGCCTCTGATGCTGTGACCGTCTGATTCCCTGTCTAGCCTTGTTTTTCTCTCTTGTTCTCCACCTCTCTATGTCCTTCCCTCTCCCCCCTCCTTCTCTGTTTATCTCTGTCTCGTCTCTCTCATTCTCACCTCACTCCCTCTAAATGTGGTAATCTTCTGCCTCACCTCTTTCACTCTTTTTGTCTCTCTATCTCCATGTGCAGTTTTCTCTTTGTCATTTCTTTCTGGAAGGACACTTTCAGTGTGACTTTATTTCATTCAATATCATTGTCCAAGGTGCCCATATGTAAAGAAATAGTCTGATATTAGACAGAATTGTCAAATCGTTTATCTCCATCTTTAGCCTGACACTGTGTCCACTCTAACCTATTTCTGCGGGAAAGGGGAACTTGATCCTCCCTAACCAGCACTAGACCCACATTATCCATCTAAATCTGACATCATTTTAAGCCCACACTGAGGCCTAGGCTGTTGTGAGCGCTTATACTTGTGTGGTGGTGGTGTCTGTGTCACTCTGCAGTTACACCTCCAAAACGCTAGTTGGCAGCGGAGGTTTCCATGAAGTGCTGTAAAGTTTAGTGGATTCAAAACACACATTAAACACACATTAAACACGGCTTAATAGAGACAATTTTAAACACAAGTACACAAATCAGCTTCAGTATAACGCTCAGCATTCACAGACATGCTAACATTATTAGCACAAGCCTATGGCATTTTACATTGTATAAATTACCCTAGCAGCTAGCGATCTTTTCCTCTAAGCCAGGGACAACAGCAACATTTAACAAAGTTAACATTACAAAATTCGGCTCCATTACAACTCACAAGGTTCACTGACAAAACAACTGTCTTATACTAAACACATTTTCCAAACAAATACAACATGCTAACGTTATTAGCACAAGCCTATGGCATTTTACATTGTATAAATTAGCCTAGCAGCTAGCGGACTTTTCCTCTGCTCATATGAAGCCAGGATAAATCACACACAAGATTTAAAATGCTATTTTTGTGGAGGCTTTATTGTCGTCACAATTTATTGTTTATTATCTGTGAAATTAAAGTAAATAAAAGCTTTGTTTCCACTGAGGGAAATGGTTTCAGCTTACAGGAATAGACAGGAGGTCTGCGTCACGGTGACGTGTAGTTACATTTCAGGGGAGGTGCACACCGTGGGTACAGCGTTGATTCAGCGCAGAAGTATACATTCTGCCTAAGAGCGAAGTCGAGTGAGATAGACACAGACTTTGAGTTGGTGCTTGTAATCGATCGACTAACAGAGATCACACCAATAAGATAAAGATTTAGAGTGGTTGATTGCATATGATGGATTAAGGGTTTGGAGGAAAGCATGAAGGGATAAGGATCAAGGGATTGAGGTATGATAGGATGTACAATGAAGGGATGAGAGTCGGAGAGGAATGAAGGGTGTAGGATGGATTGATGGATGGACCTGCATTTGTATAGCGCCTTTCTAGTCGTCACTATGAGTAACATTCACCCATTCACACACACATTCACACACTGGTGGCTGGGACTACCCTACAAGGTGCCACCTGCTACTCAGTCTTTAACACACTCACACACGGTTGGTTTCAGTTGCTATGCTTAAGTCTTAGCTTATGAACATCAGTGACTGTCAGTCGGGAACTTGTGCATGTGGTGGCACAAGGTTCCCGCTGATGCCAGTCCATGTGTCCAGGAAAGATTTTAGTGTCCCAGAGAAACACGAAACTAGTCAATGTATGCCATGTCTAGTAACTATCACAATAAAACATGTGCTGTCTGTTTAAAAAGTACAAACGTGGGAAGATTATAAGTACTAATTCATCTTTTAAGTGGCCCCATCTCCAGTATGCAGGTGATAGGTGCTTGGCTTGTTTACATGATGTAATAGAAGTGCATATTTAACTGATTCGCTCTTGACAGAGAGCATCTAATGTAGTCGGAGGCTTGGGTGCTGTTAGGACACGATGTTAGGCCAACATGTTCTCAGAGGGAATTATTTTCATCAGACATTATCACCGCAGAGATTTTAATATGTTGGACTTTAACAGATTCTCCCAGTAATGAAACAGTTCATCCCGGAGAACAGAAACCCTGTTTGTACCTATAGGTATAACCGTACACTGGGCAGATGGATAAACCATCGATCGATCGTCAAGAAATAGTTCCATTGCGTAACTCACCCCACAGCATCTGTTGCATCCTTTTGTGTACTCATAAAAAATAAAGTTCACATTGTGTTCATGAGAACGCTCAAGTTCGGAGGCCTGTTTTTTATAAACTTTGGACAAACCTGGGTAGTTGTGTCCCCTTGTTTCCAGTTGTTATGCAGAGCTCGGCTAAACAGGTCAGAAGGAACACAAATAGTATTTTTTCGGACTGTAAATGTTCTTTAAATGTTATGCAATGTGAGTGGGTGTATACGTTGGTGCTGAGGGAGATCTCTCTGACAGTAATGACTTCATGTCCCTGCCTGAACCTCTGTTATTAAGATAATCCAAAGGGACAGAGTGTTAAAAAAAGACAAAATTCCCAAATCTCCCAGGAACCGTCCGTTAATAGTCTTGTTGCTCCGTTCTCTCTTCATCCTTCTGTCGTCAGAGTCGTCTCTGCTTATCGTCTTTGCTCTGGAAGCTTTGTCTGTGTCAGCCTTTAATGAGAGGGGAAAGAGAGACTTTGTGCTGCGTACCTTGTGCCTGCTCCGTGGCAGTTTATTAGGCAGCTCAGGTCAACCTGCTCGTTCACTAATCGAGGGTCCGTCTCTGGGGTCGGGTGTCAGTCGCTCTTTGATTCACGTGGATAAGTGAGATCATAAACCTGAGTTTTAGCACGGTTATGAACCTTTGCAGTGTGAATTTCTGAGAACGTGGTGGAACTGAAAGATCTTTGAGACCATTAAGACCTCAGTGTAAGTTATTGAAATATTGATGTCTGTTGAGTGAGGAACAAAGTGATCAATATTTGACACGCTCATCAGTGATATTGAGCATCTGCTTATTGCTCCTGATAAGTTCAACTGGCCGTTTATTGCTCAGCGCTCAGACGTGATTGTGATGCTGAAGCTGTTTGAGTAGATTTTAATGCTTCAGGCCGACTTAGGACAAAATGCCTCATCAGTTGAAAGTGCTCTATTATTGATATCTATGACTTTTTTGGGGATTATCAGGATAGTTTTCATGCCTCGAGGTGGTGACAGCTACTGCCATAGGCATTATGTTTTTGGGTTGTCTGTCCAATCTGTTCTAGTGTCTAGGGTAGCAGCTGTACGCGGTGGTATGACAGTAATTTTACGGTTTTCATTTGCTAGCTATGGTTTTGAGAGAAAAAAAGAAACCTGACGAAGAATCTCACCTGCGAATGGCTGTCTGATTGTTTGCTCAACCCATAAAAAAATATTTTTGAATTTCTTTAAAGGTCATTGTAACCGATGATAATAATGATATGATATAAAATATAAAATATAATGTACTGAATGTATAAAGTAAAACTACTCCATGCAAAAAAGAGGAAAAAATCTAAAAAAAACCCCCCAAAAAACCATACAAACCCCAAATACTCAAAATTATAAAAAAAAAAATAAATGAAAACAAAAAAGAAATAAAATTAATTGGAATAAAGTAAAATTAAATAGAATACAATTAAATTCAATTCAGTTATATAATATTAAATTCAATTAGATTAGATTAGATTAAATTAAATTAAATTAGATTGAATTAAATTGAATTGAATTGAATTAGATTAGATTACATTAGATTAGATTGAATTAAATTTAATTGAATTAAATCAAAAAAAGAAAATAGTTGCCAATTAATTTTCGGTCAACTGAAGAATTGATTAATTGACTAATCAGTTTGTTCAGTTTATGCAAAAATCTTGATTACTGTAAATTTACAATTACAATTACAGTTAATTGTAAAGTAACTCGTAACCAAAGCTGTCAGACAATTGTCAGCGCTCGACAGTGCGAGCGTTTCACTCTCATTTGCGACTAAAAATAGGTGTGTGCGAACTGTAAAAAATGTTTAGGGGCACATGTGCGCATAAAAAAATCAGCCGAAGCAGCCTATATTTCTGTCAAGAAAAAAATATGATAATCTAACCACAAATGTTGGAGGAACTCCAGCAGCCTTCCTTCTTCCCTCTTCCCCATGTGACACGGTTATGGGCGGTTTTCCAAGCCACTTTCGGCACAATGAATATAAGTCCCACTGTCGAGCGTGGAAATAAGTCAAAGTGTGAATCCGAGGGATGGTTCGCCCAGGGCGTAAAACTAGCCAGGACCACCTCTGGGCGGAGGAGACGGACCGGGTTAAGCGGCGGACCTCAGGGGAAGCCGGCTCCGTTCTCCCCGCAGTTAGGGACCGTTCTCCACGGCCAGGCTGTCGGCTGGGTGGAAATAAGTCAAAGTGTGGCGGAGAAGAGGGACCGGGAAAAGTGGTGGACCTCCGGGGAAGCCTGCTCCGTTCTCCCCGCAGTTAGGGACTGTTCGCCACGGTACCACTGCTGGGCAGGGTGGAAATAAGTCCTGCAGAGTTTCAGAGGACCTGGAGAATGTTTTAGGATAGTAATAACATTATATAAGATAATCATATTGCAAAGATAATATATATATAAGATAATAACATTAAAGACAAAATTAAATTGCAATACTTTATCAAAACTTGATGATTTTACCTTTCTGTACATTTTGTATACAAATTCATTAAATAATTTTGCTTGTAAATGTCTATTTGCATCACGTTTATTATGGAAAACACATTATTTGATCAATTTACATTGTGCCCCTAAAGTTCTTTGTGCGCTCCTTACTTTTTCAACTAAAAAGTTAGCGTCAAGCCCTGAATGTGGTGAAGTAAATATTTCAATATTTCCTTCTGAAACGTGGCATGAAAAGGAAAGTCT